CAGGATGAAAGAGGATTCGCGGCGCTACTTTTTACATCACTTACTTTTTACGCGCGGTGTGGAAGCTGCTGAAACAACGAGTAATTTTATTGCGATCTCTGGCATCGAAGAAATACGTCCAGCAAAATATTCCCCGAAAATAGCAGCTTGAGATTTCTGGTTATTTTAAAAAATGTAAAAAAAAATTGAAGGGAAGGAAGAACTTGATGAGCTTAAAAAGCAAGATTTTGAGGACTGTTTTCAAAAGTGGATCTATAGACTTAAGAAATGCATAGAGTCAATGGCAAATACTGCGAATAAATATAATAGTTTTTTTTTTTCTGATCAACTTACCGAACTTTTGTTAATCCCCTCGTATGTTACATACATATATATGTATGTCTACTGCCAACACGAACATGCCCCCGAAACGAAAAAGGCCGTTCGCTCCAAACTCTAATAAATAACCGAAAATAGACAGAGCAGATTTAATGGTTCCACATCTGTCAAAAAATAAAATAAATGAAATGAAATAAAATAAATAATAAAAGAAAAACAAAAACAAAAAACAAAAAACAACAACGAAAAGGCGCTACTTAAATACCTATACACAAATACTCATACATATGTACATATGCTGATACAGACTGATTTGCAATTATTGCAGCTGACGTTGGTGCTGTTTTCGTTGGTGTCTTTGAAGATTGTTGTGACATCTTCGTTGCAACAGCCGCTACTGTGGCTTGCCACATTTGCCACAAAGCGCACTCATTTCTCGACAGCATTTATGTATATTTGAAACGTTATATTTGTATGAATGTCTGTTTGTACATATGTACATATCTATGTATGTATTTATGTATGCAAGTGTGCATATTTAACTATTCTACTTGCCGTTATTTCACATCTGCTTGTTAAATGTTGAGTTAGACATATTGTTCGGAATCGTTTTTTATTGTTACTTCAACACCGCTTCCTGTTGCACATGCACATTTAACGCCGTTTAGTTGGCGATATACATTTGCATTCTATTATATATTCGAGTGTTATATGTACATATATGCGATATATAAGTATGTACGTATATATATGCATAAATATGTATGTGCAAACATTCGTTGGTTGGCGGCTATGACCAAAAGTGACAACATGTATGTCATTAGCGGCAGTTTATGTTAATGTGCCAGCGGGTGTTGCTGCTGTTTGTTGTTGTTGTTTATATTGCTATTATTATTATTATTTTTGCAGGTGTTAACGGCACTCACCAACAACTGCTACTTCCAAATTCTAGACACAAAACCACAAAAACGTGCCACAAAATTTGTATGCCGCAACATGTTGAACATGTCAAATGTGTTAAATATATACACACATACGTATATACGTGTACAATACATACAAATGTATTTACAAAGCTGCTTCAGATGGCATATGAGGAAGGCTACATACACATGTAATTGATATATATATACATAGATATATCCAACATCCATGTTGATGCGCATTTAGTGTTTGTTGCAACAAAGGGAAACAATTTGGTAAAAATAATTGTTTGGCTAATGTCGGCGGCAATCACCCAAATAATTGCATGTGAAACAAATTAGGTTCGTGTGCAGGACACCTTCGCTGCACGTTGCCCGTTGAACCTAAGGGTGTTAATTACTTGCCAAGTTTGGTTCTTGGTTGTCCCTAACTGGGAAGTGTTCTACCGAAGAGTTTAAATCTTTCTCGAACACATCAAATTTATTGTTGTTGTTGTCGTGGTAGCGGCTTTTCCAAACTCGCTTAGGGACGGGCTCGTCAATCTAAGTCACTGAGGCCATCTTACGTGAGGTCCAAGAAACAAGCTGTTTCGACCGGTTCTGACCAAAGGGAGAGGGAGATTAGATGTGTTTGGTTTCAGGGGGCATGTAAAGAAGAGGTTAGTATCATACGAAGGCTCGTTACATGTTGAACATACGTTAGGTATGTCGGAATGGAGTCTGAATAGGTGGGAGTTTAACCTGTTACAATAACCAAACCTAAGTTGTGCCAGTATTACGCGGGACTCTCGAGGCAGCTCCTGATCTTCGTCTGCTATAACTGGTGGTTTGACTCTCACAGGGTGAGAGTTTTTGAATGGCACTTAGTGCCTGCCTGTAGGCCGTCCTATCCAATGGTTGCTGCACATGTTGCTGCATTGTATTCTTAAAGTATAGCACTCCCTTTCTTATGTGCCTGGCTGAAGGTTCAGCCACTATTAGATGTCTGTTGGGATATCCGCACTACGGTTCAGTAGAAATTGCTTGCAAATTAACACATTATGTTACTTAACTCGTAGCATAGATGCTTCGCTGATGAGAGTTGATGAGAAGGGATAGATTTCCCTTGTTTGAGTAGTGGGACCATCCTGCCCATTTTCCACAAGCCGGGTATTTTCATGCGGCGCGCTCACCGAATGGTATTTTTACATGTCTCTTCGGGTTTAAGCTCTGGGCTTGGCTGCATCAGAGTTTGGTTGCAGGATCTTATAAGCTTTATTAATGTTAGGTTTGGATTTGGATAGCTGAACTGAAATCTTTTGGTGAGATAATCTAGTCCTTTTCATCATATGCGCCTTAGCCAAAAGACCATAGTCTCTGACGGTTCAGATCAACTGGAGTTAATGAGTCATCGATTTCAGAAAAGAGTACATATTCAAAGCCGATATGTCAGTCATTTGGTCAGCAATCTTTTTCGCCACCTCCCAAAGGTGGAACACATCTTAAATTTGATACGATCTCTGGTTTTTTCTTCGATCCACTCTCATCAAAAATAGTTTTCTTTTGACTTATGTATCATACTAGAAGTCGCAATGTTAATGTTGAGTTCTAAAAATTAAGTTTTTTAACAGTCAGCAATTTCGGAGAAATGGAGGTTTGACTTTTGCAAACTTTTGCATATCATTAAAACGAAGCGAGCTTATAATGAATTGGAAAATGGAGTGCACCAACAAAGGGCTTCAGTACAAGTGGTAGAGAAGGGGAGGCCATTAGGATCCTCAGTGCTTACACAATGGGCCCCTTTGGTGGTTTGTGCCTAACCTAACCAAGATTTAGAAAATAGATCTTTAGAATTTTTTTAAGTTTTTCCAGAGGTTTTGTGTTTGCTTAAGCTTATACAAAATATAGACATCCTAATCTGTGAAAGAACTGAAGCCAGGAATTAAGTATTTTTATTGGAATATTAATGCTGTTTTCATCCAATAAAAAAATAAGCATCAACGAAAACATATTCATTTCAAGTATATACTTTGCTTGCAGTGAGCATGGAGCACACTGACGAATTTCGTACATAAATCAATAAAACCTCGTTTAACTTTTTGAGATGAAAAAAAAGTTCGCCAAGAGAAATAAATGATGTGAACTGTAATTGAAAAAAAAAAGAAGAACAGGAAGAAATGTGAGTAGTAAAAGATTGTAACTTTTCTCTTTTTCATTTTTTAGAGGCTAAACCGTTTTGAGACACTGCAACATTCAAGTGACCGCCTCGCGAATTTTCGAAAACTTGCATTTGAAGTAATTTTCGACCACTTTTTGGCAAATATTGGGCGGAATCTCGGCTCAGTATCTAACTTGACGAATATGGGTTTTCAAGTGATCAAGAGTTTGAAGTTCGTCAGCATAAATAAGGTATTTTGCGTAGCCACACAACACAAATACCAACGGTGTCAAATCGCGTGTTCTCGGTGGCCAATTGAAAACGGCAGGACGAGAGATTTCTCTCGTGCCGAGTAATCGTGTGTTCGTCGTGCTCGTCATGAAAATGGTTGCACGTGGCTTGATCGACTTATTACAGGCAAAGAGGGCTGGTTTTTTTCATTATGACCCGGAAATCAAACGCTAAAGCTCACAATGGTTGTCTCCGCACGCAAACATCGCTCGTAACTGGATCCTTCATCACGGCAACGGTCCGTGCCACATCGCCCTCAACGCATTTGGTCTCTAAAGCGATCGCCGTTTTGCAACACCTGCCTTATTTGCCCTATATCCCAAATTTTTGTTCCCTAAAATGAAATCGGTGGTCAAAGGAACCCACTTTGAACATTCAAGGGGATGGCAGAGTTGGAGAATAATTTTAAAATATACAGTTTTTATGGAATCAGTCGCATTACTTATTTGTCGCACCTGGTAATTCTTATTAATGAAACCATGGCCTGCTGCAAGTCCAGTCCGAAATGGGATAAGAAGAGTTCAAAAGGTACGTAGTCCTTAGAAAGAAAGGTTACGCCCGAAGTAATAGGAGTTATGACAGGCCACTGTCTGTTAGAACGACACACACAGAAACTATGGGCTCTATATAGAATATGCTTCAAAGATAATAAGGAGGAAGAAACGATCATCAAATTCCAATACGACTGTCCCGCTTTGTCACACCTCAGAATTTTGGGACTCTTCCGACACGATAGATTGGCAGCTACCATAACCTAGCTTAAGTGTGTGCCCAAGTGGAAAATACACCAAAAAGTGCCGCAAGAAAGTCTCAGCTATAACCAACCAATTAAGAAGGCTATAAATCCAGTTTGGAAAGTTACTTTTAATCAATTCAAAGTACAAAATATGTGAAAACAAGACGAAATTTGGAACCAATTTATTTTTGTAGAACTCCCACCCAAGCAGCAACGAGTCAGGCTTGAGAGAGCGAAGGAGTTGCTTCGCTTAGCCGAAAGTGGACAATTTCCGAACATCGTGTTTTGTGACGAAAAACTTTTCCAGCTGAGTAAACCGTAATCTACAAGTATTTGAGCAATCGATTGGCCGCCAGGAGGCAGCACTCGCCACATATAAAGGTTTGGGCCGCTGTAACCACAGTTGGGCACTGTCCAATGATACCCTCTACGGGTTAGGGGTTCAAGAATTTGCCCGCGGTAAGGCATGCCTGTCGTAAGAGGCGACTAAAATCCAATTGTTCCCGCGGCAGTCGGGTCTTTATACCGGAACGACCCGGATTTTTATCCGGCCAAGGGCTATCATTCCAGCAGCATTCCCCAAAAAGTACTTTGGGGAAAATTTTTGCGGTTACAACAACAACAATACAACTGTCCAATGATTTTCAAAGCAAATAAGTAATATGACCGTAAAAGTATTCTGTAGCTTACTTTGAAGCCATGCGGAGGCACTGAGGAAAGACGTTGTCGGCGAGTCGACTAAAATACCTCTGAAGGCCTCACAATTAAGTTTGAAAAATGGCAAAATACAACTCTACACTTTTGTAACCACAAAATGGAAATCCCTATGTAAGTAAGTTTTGTACATAAAATATATTGCAATCAAATTTTTTACTACCACAATGCTAACATACATATTTGTGAACTACAAACAAATACAATAAATAAATAAATAACACATAATAATAATCACGATGTGGCAATGTGGCACATATTATATACACACACATCTATGTATGATATGTGCCATTAACTACTAAATTGTAGCATGCAATTCAAACCGGAAATCGTGAGTTTTGCGTTCGTTATTTTTTATTTATTATTATTTTTGTTTTTGTTATCGAAAAGTATTTGTCAGTTGTGTTGCAAGTTCTTTCTTTCTTTCTCAGCCACATCTTCATAGCTAGTTTGGAGCGAAATGTAATGGATTGTGTGACAATAAGCAAGGGAAACATGGCAAATGCTGAAGAACCTGCAAACGTGATTTATATATTTGGCATGGATTATTGTGGTAATAGAAATTTCTTAAATAAATACATACGAGTCAATACATACGTTTATATGTACATATATCATTGGATTCGCTTTTACAATAGTCGTGATGAATTAAATTCTGACGCAATGAAGATTGGAGAAATTTATGAGAGTCAGCCTACGTTGAGAAGTTTATATATATATGTACATATGTATGTATGATTTTGGTTGAAAAAAAGATAAAAAAAAAAAATAAAAAATAAAATTTATGAAGCCCTTTTATGGCACTAAGAAATATCAATATTGTCCTATCTAGTTTTTCAATACCTCGGACCTCTTAAGTACAGCCAGAGAGAAAACCATCAGTTTTTAGTTGAAGCCCTCATGACTACTGCCTTAAACTTGAGCCACCTCAATTCTTCCTTGAACAGCTGCCACGACGATATATTTTTGCAAGGTCACTTTGTGGCTCATAACTGCTAATTTTACAATATAAAAACATGTAACACTTTCGTTACTCTTGGTTATGCCACAAAAGAAAAGAAAACAAAAAACAAAAATACAAATAAAAATAAAAGCAAAAAAAAAAAAAATATAAATTCCTGACCTAAAACACATGTAATCTGTATGTTGTACCCTTTGTTGCGGTAATAAACTTTCTCCCACAAGCAACGGCCATAGCAGTAGTCGACGTGCAATTTGAGCCTGAGGCCGAGTTAAGGAATAAAAAATAATAATCATAGCAACAAAAAGAAGTATGTATGATAAGGAAAAGGGGTCTGGCAAGAATGCAGCCTCAACGGATTTTACTTGTACAAATGGAAATAAATTTTGGAAGCAAAGAAAAAATTACTGTGCAATGAGTAATCGTTATTGCAAGAATTTTGAGTTGATATGGACCCGATTTTTTGCTCATTTGCTGATGTCATTCAAAGATGTGGCCAGATTCGAAAGAATAATTGTTAATGAGGAAAAACATTAAGTTGGGTCGTATTGATTGATATTAAAGCCAGAGTGGTAGAGGTTAGATTGTAACATGAAGTTTTTTGTGTTCAAAAGTAGGTCACAGATTACTTATGTATATAATTGACGCTTTGTAACTACGCTGCAGGAATTTTCGGCTGAGCTCCTTCGCTCTCTGAAAACTAGAATGGCAAAAATATTTTATAAAACTTAATTTAAAAAATCGTAATTGACAAAACGAGCCACTCGAAATACATACCTTGGTTACCGCAGGACATAAGATTCGCTTTGTGCGGTGCAATCGGCAACAAAACTCTAAAGCTCAATTGCCCTTTACACTCGGTGACGTCATGTGTTGAAGATATTTTTCGCTCTGCTCGCTCGGTTTGAAGCGATGACGACTCCAAAACTCACGAAACTTACCGAAGGTGCCAAAAGACGTGCCGATCCAGCGCTCTAGTACACATCTCAGTAAGTTTGGAGTTTGGTTCTTCGTTAAGGATTTGATGTCTCAACCGATTCTATCTTACCTAGCAGTGTTTATATCTCAAGCATAGAAGAGCTATCAATACAAATTGAAAAACACTGAATTTTATTTTGTGTATTCATGTGTAACCCGTTAGTATAAATGTAAATATCCTTACCATCTCCTTCCACTCAACCTTTCCTACTTGGAAGGAAGTTGGTTGTTTGGAACTGACCCTGAAAGTGAAACACTTATATTGATTAGCTGTTGTCAATGAGCTCTTCTAGAGCCTTTGAGTTGAGACCGAATAATATTTTTTTTTTCAAAATTCTCGAGCTCTGAATTTTATATTTATTTCTTTAATTTTGCAAAAATATCATTAATATTTGAAATGCCACCATATTTTCACCGCTTGGAAAAGAGAGAATTTAGAAAATCACCACTCTACACAATTAAATGAGCTTTCCCTTTACTTTTACTTGAACAAATAAATTTTTAATGCGATTTGTTGAGTATTTTTTTGGAGTTTAGTCCACATAAAGGGTGATTTTATAAGAGCTATAGAAATATTTTTTCAAAAAAAAAAAAAAACACAATTAAATCCAGAAAATTGCATTAAATCTTTATTTAAATAGACCGTGCGGTACATGTAATTTAATGTTTGAAGCTTATTTCATGCAAATATGAACCGTGACTGCTCCTCAAATGGTCCATCTAAATAAATGCTCCCATGTTGTTCTCCAATGCGTTAATAGAAGCGGGTTTGCCTGTATAAACATCAGATTTAACATAGCTCCACAAAAAATAGTCTAAAGGCGTTAAATCGCACGATCTAGGCGGCCAATTGACCGGTACCGAACGTGAAATAAAATATTCACCGAACTCGCCTCTCAATAACTCCATTGTTACTCGTGCTGTGTGGCATGTGGCACCGTCTTATTAAAACCACATGTCATGCAAATCAAGCTCTTGCATTTTGGGAAAAAAAAGTTTGATACCATCTGACGGTAGCACTCACCATTCGTGATGGCTCGCATCGTCTTTGAAGAAGTGTGGTCCAATGATGCCACCAGTACATAAAACGCACCAAACTGTGACTTTTTTCAGATGCATTGGTAGCTCTTGCAATGCTTCTGACTGATCTTCGCTCCAAAATCGACAATTCTGCTTATTTACGCAGCCTCTAAGCCGAAAATGAGCTTCGTCGCTGAACACAATGAACAATGGAAGAAGCGGGACATGAACTTTCTTAACAGAGCACCCATTTTGATAGTGAAAATCAATAATTTGCACGCGTTGTTCGTTTGTAGGACGATTCGTGGTGAAATTATAGACCAAACTGATGACGTTTAAGAGTGATTCAAGACGCGAAACCTGCGTCAGCTATTTAAACCAATGTTGCCAAAGAGATATAAGCTAAAAAATCAGGCCTTATATTGTATATGACCTTATTGACGCTCAATTTCCGTAAACATACAACATACAATATATTGAGTAATGCGATCTTTTCGCCAGCTAGTGGAATTTTAGACAGTCTATATTCGTAATAATGTGTATTGACAACGATTTTTGATTTCAGTCTACTACAAGAGGCTGTAGGCTTTAAGTTTTTAGGCCATGTTTTTGGCGCAGACGACGATGGAAAGCACCATTTTGTAGTCGTCATTTCGACATACGTTTCATCTCAGGATGAAATATGGATTAATCATGAAAACATCCTGCTAGTATAGTAGCATAGATTAAAATTCGATACAAAGCTTTCCCTTGTAATCTGTAACATAAATTTAATATGTGATTTGGGAGACCCGGATGCTTTAGTATTAATATTCAGAAACTCTATCGGACAATAAATCGCATTTTGACATTTTAGGTATTTATCAATGAGTCGACGAATGGTTTTAAAATTATTTAAATTACGACTGTAGGCTTATCGAAAATAATTATTTATGCTTGGATAAATTATAGCTATAAACTCTTCCACTGCCGAATTAATTGTGCCTATTATTCGGTACCGGGTAATCATCATTTTCTATTTTCAGCAAACAGTTCTGAGAGTTATACGGCAGTAGCAACTCCTCTCAAATGAATTCTGATATTTTTGGTGAGGCTTAGCTCGAGATCGCTTTACGCATACTTTAACTTCGCCCAGTCGCATTCCACTCTGCACTACTGATAAAGTCTACCGAATATCGCCAGCGCGCAAAACAAGCCCTTCCCAACGATGCAACCATTCGATATACGAGGTATGTTCAAAAAATATCGCGAATTTCGTGTTTTTTCAAACATTATATATTAATTCATGAATATCTATTTTGTCCCCTTCAAAGTAATTCCCATGAGATATTATACGCTTGTGCCAACGGTTTTTCCAATTTTCGAATCACTTCAAAAAATCATTTTTGTTTTATATTGTTCAGCTCCTCCTTCGGTGCCGTCTTTATCTCGTCAATCGTAGCATAAAGTCGTCCTTTCATGGGCCTCTTCAGTTTAGGGATCAAGAAAATTTCACAGGGGGCCAGATCATTATTGTGTTGTTTTTGGCAAATCGAAGACCATTCCAAACACGTGCGAGCAAAGCAGCTGTTAACAATTAAGTGAACATTCAAAATAGCCGAGCTTGTCGGCATAAGTGACAGACATGAGTACCAACATAACGCCACAAAAAAGTCGAGATTCGATTACACGTAACCCGCGAAATTTCAAAAATTCGCGATACTTTTTGAACACACCTCGTAATATTTGACCAACAATAACTTTAATCGAAAAGTCTTGTCCACTGTTAATTTTGGCGTAAAGCTACTACTATATCAAATTTTATGTAAATAAAAATATTTTAAAATAAACTTGATACCTTGAAACTTCGAAGAAAATCCTTTCTTATCGGGTGCATACGTTGTTAAGGTCACTACGACCAGTGGGTTGATACGTCAAAGCCATTTATATATAGATTAAATGCTATTTCTGAGTTCAGGGACAAGGAAATGAGTACAGCTCACTATATTTCTAGCTTCCTTGGAACAATTGGCTGTTCTTGTAACATGCTTCACGGAAGAACAGTTTGGGTGCCAATGGAAAAAAGTTGGAATCAGTGAGCGCAATCTTATTTTCACCGTGTTGATGAAAAATTTGTACATGTAATTGAAACAAATTATATTGTACATTATTCACAAAGATTTCATTTTTTACTCTCATAGCGAATTGGAATAATTTAATAAAGAGAAACGCAGAGTCTAGCGAATATTTCAATTCATATCACATTTTGCCACTGTTGCATGAATGAAAAGTAAATGATTTAGACACTTCGATTTAGATTTGTTTTTGTACGAATTTCTCAATATCTGCAAGATGCAGAACCTTTTCGATTTCCAGTCGGAAGTTCAAATCGATGCCAATCGGATTGCAGAACAGCACCCTATTGCTCCACATGAGGACACAAGCTCTTCTCCAAATATAAAATCACTTGTTGATCATGTGGTTGAAAAATTAGAGATTCAATAATTATTTAATTATTAAAAATATGGCAACGCCAACATCATCAGCTTAAATTCCCACAAAAAACATACACTGACCGTTATTTAAGCCGATAATAAAATTTTATTGAACAAACAACAACCAAGAAACAACAGTGCAAAAAATGAAGAAATACTGAAGAATATAGTGGACCGAACCGCAAATGCATTTCGACATTGTCTGTCGAGCCACAAAAAATTAACAGTAAAAAAATCAAGAGAAAAAGTGCCATTGATTTGTTGTTGCTGTTGCTGCCACAATGAACACAACATAATTGGGGTCGGGGCAACCCCAAAGAAAAGATTTGTATGCACATAAACGTTGCTATGCATGGAAATTAATATATATTGATTTAAGTATGTATACGTGTATGTATTGTAAATATGAACGAATGTATGCCTGAGTGGAGAGTCGCTTAAGTAAGTAAGTAAGCAAGATAAATCGTTAGGGACTCCATGGAGCTGGACAAAAAGTACAAAAAAAAAAAAATAAAATAAAAAAATACAAAAACAGCCGCAATGCAATGCAATTGACAATTTAAGCA